CAGTTTGCTTTTATAATTCCACGGATCTTATGTCAACCTTTCATTATCACACAGCTTATCTTATATGTCTCTGAATTCCACTCAACTATTGCATCACCCACCCTTAATGTTTCCTTGATTCCAACACCAAATAACCTCTGATCTGTTCTTACACACATATATATAGTTATTATTGATAACCTTGGTCATTCCAGTTGTTTACATTCACTTATGTTAATTGTTTCATACTATTTCAGTGAAATTTCTAAATTCTCCACAAAACCCCTTGTGACATTATTTATTAGTTATGGGACTATAATATTTGATTGGTAACCGATTGTTTTAAAATAAAGACTTTAATTTCATCACTGGAAAGTTTTACACTATATTAAGTTCCTTACTAAATGATAAACAACAGTCAGGAAGAAGTGTGGACCTATATATTATTCTACATGGTGCTTCTCAGAAGGCATTGTTTACAAATCTTGAATGAGTTGATGCTTCCTATAAGATACGAGTTTACGCTATAGAGGCTTTATCATGACTTATCGTTTAAAAAAAAGAATTTTGTGCTAAATTGTAATATTATATTGTAGTTAATATCAATCCGGTAGAATATATTTCATTGATCGGTTCACAATTTTAATGATTAATTGAATTTAAACATTACCACGGTTGGATGTCAGATTACTAGCCCATTCGCATACGAAACAGAAAGTCCTAGGTTCAATTCCTAGATGTGAGGTTGTGGGTGTGCAACTCTGAGGAGTCCTGTACTAGGACGAAACAAATATTCAGTGCATTCAGGTTTGCAATGGTAGTCTAACATTGATCGGTTCATGTTATACCTAGAGCTTATATTCATGATATACCGCGTATACTTGAGCACTCCAACACTCCCAATTCGCAAATGAGAAGATAGAAGACAAATGAAAGGAATGTTATTCCGAACAGTGTCAATTATAGAACAAAAGTGTCAGTTACTTATAGTTTTTAGTAAAAAACAAAATCATTATTATAGTCCTCCCATCCGCATCTAGGAGGTTATTAGCATTTGTACAATACGGAAGCTAAATGTAAGGATTCTGGAATAGTCTTCCAAAAGATGATTGAATGGAATATCTTCAGCTCTTTCTGAGCTTCTTAAGGCTTCCTTGAGTTCAGCCGTGGACTGTCCTCACACCTCCCCTCTTTAAAACCTGTTATATAAGACTTTTTTCTCGGATCCACCAGAAACTTGGTTACTTGTAGTTTATGATTTTAATGAGACTTGACAATCTTCACAAAGTTATACTTGTATATCTAGACTCCTGGGTAACTAACTTCCTATAAACGTTTTACTTTAAATGAATCAAGTTTTATATTGATTATAACTAGAAGTTTCTTCAATAATTATGTCCATTTCTAGTGTTTATTTAATAAAATTTCTGTCAAATTATTAAATGATTGTTAAGGTTGAATAATTACAAATAGTTTGTTTAAATAAAATCTACAATTAATATATATTTGTTTATCAATTTATGATTCAATTAAGTGAGAATAGTAGTTTATTTAAACAAAGTAATTGTTCAATGATCAATCAACAATTATTATTATTATTTTTTGAAATAAAATTTAAACTACTTATAAGAGGTGAATATAATCATGCGAATGTACACTGCTAAAAAGTTTCATATTAGAACGAAACGGCTGTCCACGGAGTTCCATGGTGTTCTAGCTATTTTCAGTATACGGGTTGTGGAGATTACTAAGTTTTTTATTGAAATTATGAACCGATTGATGTTAGACCACCGTTGGAAAACAGTGGTACAGTAGGCTAAGCGTTCGCGCGCGACACTAAAGGCTCTGGGTTTGGATCCGGAGAGTGGGCGAGTGGATGCGTACCGCTGAGGAGTCCCACAACGGAACGAAACGGTCACTTAGTGCTTCCAGGTTTCCAACAGTGGTCTAACATCAATCAGTTCATGATCTCAATTACAAAATATTAAACTATTTATTCAGCTAGAATATTTCTATAACTTGTAGAGATGAACAGATTTCCGAAATATTTATTGAACAGAGTAATATTAGTTCTTCTAAACAATAGAGATCAACTATTCATTCGTTTCATATCTCAATACATATATATATGTTAATATCTCATTCAATATTCGAATTAGCCACCCAAAACAACAAATATTTCTTTTAAACAAATCTATTATATTGTAAAAAACACCTTTGACAAACATGAACATGTAAAATAAACAAGACGGATCTTGATTTCCGATAGAATTTGTCAAAAAGAACTTCTGAAAAGCTTTAATAAACATACTTTTATGATATGCGATTTGTAATCTAATTACTTATCAATAACTATATTACTTGATGAGATGAAATTAACATATTGAATAGAACTAATGTAACAGCTATGATAATAATAAAAACTGAACACTTGGAATATGGTTTGAAATGATAGAATGAATAAGTATGTATGAAGGAATAGTAGAGCTCAAGATCTAGAAAAAGATAAAGGATGTACGCACTTGAGCTATTATGACCGATTCTTGGTAAGATTGTGGTGTATGCTACTTATATCAATATAAGTAGTATAAAACACCAAATGGAATGACTGGCAGCAAAAAGTTAAAAAGATCGAATCGAAGAGGATGGGAATAGAGAATAATTGTTATGGTAATGAAAGAACAATGGAGTTTTTGACAAGTGATGAAAAACTTACAAATGAAGTGTTGAACATATAGTTTACACATTTTATGGAAGAACTCTATAACTTTGTATTCAAATACATTGTTGTTACCTGAGTTCCGGTTTACAACAATATCACAGAACACAATAGTCGCGCGAATCCCAACAATGTAGTATGAACTTATCAAAATGTTCCAGAACAATTGTTAATGACTTGATGAACTCATTCTGTTTTGGTTTGAGCTCTCCTGAATTGCTCCTAACCTACTTTTATCCGTCAACATCCTCTGATGAAAAACATGATACATGCCTTAACCGCTAATGCGAATATATTATTCAAGTACAGACTAACAAGATAACTCTCTATGAAGACAGCAGAGGTTGAATAATTAAAACAACCAACTTCCAACGACTTGGTCTTAGCTATGCATACATCAAATGTGTAGTATTACTATCACTTGAAAACACTGTTACTGCAAACTAACAACATAGATCTACGCTTAGTAAACAAAATAAACTTAATATGTTCTCCTTTTGTGACTTAAAAAAAATTAACTGAGAAACTATATTATTCTACATGTGCCAATTTTCATAATTGAGGTCATTTCTCAAGTTTCATGAGAAAACCTTCGGAAAAAATTCATCGAATAAAACAATGTTTTCTCATACAATCAATATATGATTATTGAATTCAATTAAAATTACATCTATATAGTAAAGAATTTATCTAATTGCTTTAGATTGTTTATTTGTTTATTCATTTGAACACAAAAATATTGGTACAAGAGTGCGCCAAATATATATGCGCCACACAAATCTCATTCGATATGTGTGAGGGCTGTGATACTGACCGGGTGCCCAAACCGAAGCAGGTGGTCTTCTTAGGGGGCCACACCCCGAGCCTTTGACCTAAAGGTCTGACCCACAAGGCAGTGGAGCATTGTAAGGAGATGCAGTTCCATGGTAGCCAGTGACCGAAAATTGGTTCATATGCCATTTGTTCCCGCAGGATACTGGAGCCCATGTGCACCATTGGTTTGGGATCCGGTTAGAGCGTCGGACACTCGCTTTTCGTAAACGACACCCCCGCCACGAGTAGGCAGTGACTAGGACTTCACTGGCAGAGGCTGTAGACGCGTGGCCATGTGAGAGTATTTTTAGAGGGAGGGCGAACCCACCGCGCTCTCGGCCATACCAGAGCATTTGGGGCACATTGTTTACAACATGAGGACAATTAAGTAAAAGTAGAAATAAGATAGTAATATCAAAAGGGGGTTTTGTGGAGATTGTAATAATTTTAATTGTTGAGATCATGGGTCAATTAAAGCTAGTGACTGGCCTCCAGATGAATATCCTGGAGTTCTAGTGAGAAGCAATGACCGGTGGAGTTCAACCAGGTTTGTTGTGAGAAATCAACTCACCGAAGACAATGGTGTACGGTGGCGCAACTTCGTGGACTAGTTAAAGTTAAACATTAACAATGTTGGATGCCGGATCAGCGGTCTAGTTGGTTAAGTGCCTGGCGCGAAACTGATAGGTCCTGGGTTGGAATCTTGCGGAGTGTGGGATCATGGATGCGCACTGCCGAGGAGTCCCAAAATAGGATGAAACGGTCATCCAATGCTTCCAGGTTTCCGATGGTGGTCTAGCTTCAATTGACTCATAATTTCAACCAGTGAAATTTCTAAAAATCTCCACAAAACCCATTCTGATATTTAATTCAACCCCACGAATTGTGAAGAAGAAACATAATGCCTACAGTTGTTTTCTTTTTTCATTCCTTCATGTTAATTTCAATACATATCACAGTCTTACATTTTTCAACAAAAAAAAGAATTCTAATCATAATAAACGATAATCATGATTTCATACAATAGTTGAACAAGTCTTTTTGATCTTGTCACTGAGTCAATTCAACAAAAGAACAAGAAAACAAACCAAAAAAAGGAGACGAGAAGAAGGAATTAGTTCTTATAAAATAGTAACCAATATGAAAGTACAAATTCTTGAAAATAGTTCCAGTTTAAGTTAGAAAACAAAATATTATTAAAATTGAAATAAAATTCGGTATAAAAAAAGAATGAATGATTAAAGGAGGTGGAGAGAGAAAAACAAACAAGAAAGAAGAAAAAAGGAAGAAAATGAATCAATGAATGAACGTACGATCCAACTTGACAGTAATGTGCATATATATATATATATATATATATATATATATATATATATATATATATATATATACCAAAATGATACATTTATTCATTAATAAAACAGCATAGCTAACCAGGTCACTGTGTGTGTGTATGAAACGACAATACAATTCCCGTTTTCAGTTCTACTTAATTAACTGTCTTATTAATTTTTACCAATTCAACTTTCCATTCCAATGACCAAGTATCAAAATCATTATCCTAAAGATGAGAGAGTCAAATTTCAATGTTGGAGAAAAAAGAAGATAAAAGAACAGATTTATATGAGTTGTATGGTTAGTTACAATATGAAAAATGAATTTTTAGAAAAAAAACAATTTACGTCTAATTCTTCAACACTTAGTTAAATAATATACCCTTGTGGGTTAGGGTAATTTTGCATTGGTTTTCAGGGGAACCACTAGACACCATCCAGACTTTCACGTGACAACCCAAACAGTACAGCTCAATCCTGTTTAACAGGAGAGTCAGACACCGCCCAGGTTTAAATTTTATAACCCGAGCAGTACAGCTCAATTCCGCTTCATATGAGAACCAGACAAAGTATAGACTTTAACGCTACAATCTGAATAGAATAGCTCAAACCTGTGGCGCAACCGCACAGGTACCAAGCACCCTGGTGGATCAATCCTTCAACATTTACTATACAAATTTAGATGATGAAATCAATGAAGTAATTTATTGATCAAATATTCTGCTTTGAGCCAACATATGATATGTAAAGAGTAATAATACTCAGTAATCAGTTGCTCAAACCGAAGGGGAATTCAAGTTCGCGAAACAGCGGTTCAAGGTCGAATGCCTTAACCAACGAACTAATGATCCACAATGCACAAATTTACAATAATTAAGCGTAACGCTTGAGAGTTTTAAATCTAAGATATAAGGTATGATAGATCATTTCGTTTTCGTTTGAAACCACCGTTTCCTGGTTAACCATTGTATAGTATATTGATACATCAAAATCTCATAGCTAATATTCTCCGACTTTATGGTGATAAGCATTTTTGAGTTGGGTACATTCAGATTTGAACTAGAAATTGAAATTTATTTACTCAGTCCAGCGACATGTTGTTGTGTTTTGTCTTGAGGTAGCTAATACACCCAAGGATATAAGATCAAAACGAGATCACGTCCGAAAGATAAGGCAAGCAGTGGAGCGATGTAGATTAGTTTCAAGCACTGGTTGAAATTTAAAACATTCACTATATTATAAATGAAAAGCGATTTCGCAGCAACTTCCGACATACATTTCTGTGAACCTGACACGTAAACTAAACTTAAACTCTATAGTAACTCAAAGGAGAGAAATTTAGACAGAACTGTGATCACTTATGAGAAAACGCCACATGCGCAACCTAGTTACATCCACTACTACGTGAAATGGCGGCAAAGAGAACTCGTGATCTTCTTCGCTTTCCCCCAATCAAATAATATAATTCATTATCATGAGAACTATTCTCTTTCAATAAAGCGATTTCTCCTATTTCAAATATAGACTAACGTCTATAGCTACAACTGATCTTAGGCAACCAATGGGAACCAGGAAGTAGTAGACAACTATCTCGTCCTAGCAAGAGACTCCTCAGCAATCGGCATTCACAAAAACAGAAGGAATCAGAAAGAACCAGGGCCTTCAGATCTCGTGACGAAAACCTAAACTGAGTTTTATCCCCGATTGTGTCGTGGCTGTTTACTGCTCATACCAAAATGAAACACTTATCCAGTGCTTCCTGATTTAAATGGTTATCTAAGGTCAGTTTGTGATGTGCTATAAGAAGCATAATCAAAATCAGAAGTGAATACAAGAAAAGATAAAAACCTACTTATATTTACAAACATTCATCTAAGAAATAAAAATATTGATACACTTAATAAATGTACCTTTTGCCGAAATAGTTGAGCTTGCTGCCAAGCCACAGAAGATGACTTTCCAGTAGATTCATCATCATTCCATAGACGAGCTTTTAAAGTCAGAAAATCAGATCCAATCATAGATTCTGAATTGAATAATGAAGCAGAACCTGGTTGAAGACACAAACATGAGTTAGGCACAGATTGTGGATTATTTTCCTCTTGGCCATTATTACTACTATTTACCGGATATTCACCGGAACAAAGTACAAAACGAGCATGACAATCAGTTGAATGACACACCATATTTGTAAATATAGAAACCTGATGAAAAAGAGGAACAGTTTAAAATATAGAAATATATTGCCATTAAATTAAAAATAGTAGCATTAGTTGCAATACTAGTTATTACACTAAAAACAGTATAGCCTTAAGCCAATCGTAAAACAGCTTTTGTCTAGCTCAGTCCTCCAACAATTGAGTAGACAAGAAAAACCCATATAAATTTATTACAACTGCTGAAGAGCACGGGACGATTTGAGTATTTTATAGAAATATCGAGTTGTTCCTGACAACCAGCAACTAATAATGCTTGTTTCAGGTAACCGGATTAAGACCTAATGATAATAAATTGATGGTTTTAATAATTCGATTTTTGGATTATCCTGCTTAAATGTTCGTGGAATTTGGGCGTTTCTCAGTAGTTCTGTACTCCAATTATACATTGAATAATAATCAAACAGCATAAGCGTGATTCTAAACAATTCAACGAAGCTCACCGCAATTTTAAGAGGAATTAATTATCCATTAAATAATAATAATAATAAACATTAATTTTAACAAGTCTAACTCATGTGAAAAACAGTCTAACAGAATGACAATTTGTTGACAAGAAAATATTTTAAAATTAAACTCGACAGTACTAGATTTGATTAGCTGAAGCAGAATTATGCACTCACCTTCGAGACATACTGCGAATATGAGTGAGAGCTAAATGTTGTCATCTGAGAGCTCAAACCACAGTAGGTGGGAGAAGGGTTTGAACCTGTGACTTATTGGGTAAAAGTCGGACACCATAACCACTGATTCAGCGCTCTACACTCAACAGTACACTATATACATAATTCAAAACGTAACCTTAAACTAAAGAATACCATCGTTAAACCTAAATATTATTGAACATACCAAAAATAATAATGCGTCCATCATACCGAGCTCACCAAACAGAGCATCCTAAATTTTACACGACACATTAAAACGTGTAGTCAATAATAAAGTTTAGATGCTTTTCACCACTGACTGAAAGTTAAGATACTGATAAAAAGCAGGGAGCATTGAACAAACAGTTATTCTAGTAGAAATTTCTTAAGCAGTATGTAAAGATAATTTCATTAAAGATCGGACTCACAACCACCCCCGTCTTGTCTCCAGCTGATCACCAAATTAGCCCCGTAGATAGGTACTAACCTATCTCTATTTATTTACCCATAAACATGGACAAAGAGCTTTAATTTTATACCTTTTTATTAGAGACTACATTTAAAATAAATGTAGAAAATATTGAGAAAAGTTTTTAACCCATAGTTTTCATTGAAAATCGTTCGTTGCTCTGAAAAGAGATAACTAGACCATAAAGGTGATGAACAGATAGGCGCCCATACACACATACGCACTTACGAAAGCAGTTATCAAAAGTTTAAAACCTACACATAGTTATTATTTATTATTGCCTTACTTTTCCAACACGATAATTAGTATTTCTTAAATCAAGCATCCAGATAATTATTCCATCTTCTGATGGTTTACTGTCCTCTTCACGAGCTAAATAAACCATGTGCCAATCAAGTTCTATCTGTAAATATACAAAAGAATGAATAAATAAATCTATGCAAACAGTTAGTCAATATTTCAACATTCTTCATAAACACTGGAACCGTTTTAGTAGCCTTTTACTCTCTGAACTAGATAGTTTCATTTCTGTTTAGGACAATCCCATTATTATGTAGAAGTGAGTCTTCCAATTATTTCAGAAGCATGTTCTATTTATCTATTTATTTGAACACATAAATATTGGTACAAAGGGGCACTAAATACATATGCACCACACAATAACAATGAAGTTGTGAAGAGATAGAGAATGTAAAGCGCGTATAAGAAAAAAGAGAACAACAAAGAACAAAAATTAGTGTATGCGAGTGATATAATAATAATGGGAGAGGCAGTTCAGTTAGCTAAAGCACAATCAGAAAGAATTCTCCCAATTTTATGAAGAAAGTAGAAGAAAGTTACGGCAGGATCACTACTGGCTTTTATTCTGAGCCATATATGATAACGTCTCAAGCCACTTGTGTTGCACCATCTCTAGGACCAAACTTCAACCGATCCATGATCTTGAGAAACCCTTCATTCATTGCCTGAAGTGGATAACTGTCGCCAAGCGACACGGATTGGACTCCACTAGTCACGGCTTCTCACCAAACTCCAGGAAATCTATCTTGAATCCAGTTAATAGTGAGCACATGATTATGATCATAATGGGAGTCTGTAGAGATTGTAGTAATTTTAATAGTTGAATTGATGAGTCGATCTAAGCTAGACCATCATTGAAAACCTGGAAGCGGGATCATGGATGAGTACTGCTGAGGAGTCCCATATTAGAACGAAACAACCCTCTAGCGCTTCCAGGTTCCCAATGGTGATCTAGCTTAGATCGACTCATGAATTCAGCTACTAAAATTACTGCAATCTCCACAAATCCCCATTCTGATTATTTAGCTTTGTAAACAAGCAACAGTCGATCAACCAATATCTAAATAGAATACTAACATCATTTTAACATCCACTTTCCTACCAGAAAGTTATATTGAATGAGGAAACTATGTAGATATATAGGAATTAACCAACCTTCCGAAAAATATTTCTCCACTGATAGACCATAGACTGCCATCCATATAAACCGGTTTTCCGAGCATTTTCAATCAATTTGGTTGACTCTTGATTATTCGCTTTTGGTGAATTTGTAGAACATTGAAACTCTAATACAACATCAGTATCCGTTTTTGCATTATTATTATTATCATTATTATTACTATTACTATCGTTAGAATAATAAGGACGCTGGTAAATATTTAAAGCTGAATTATAACGTAAGTGAAAGATTCCACTTTGAAGTTCCGAATCAGACGGGGTAATAATACACTTTGATCTATTTTTTAAATACAAAAATGTTGACTGAGACACATACACATTATAATTAAGCGAAATAAAAAGACACACTGAAAGAAAAGAGCATTAACAAGTGTACAACATGTGAATAATGATAGTAACGACAGTAGTAGTGGTAGTAATTTTAACGAAACTGCCATGATCTTTAAAATTTGTGAAACAAATATTCACTTTGATCTGAATACAATGAATACAACATACCTGGACACAATTAATCCTAAAAACCGAATTTTGATAGAAAGACTTATTAAGAGAGCATGGATTTCGTGTGGTAATTCCTGGAATTCTAGTTAGATGTGATCAATGGAGTCCAATCATGTCAAGTGTAAGGCAGCGTTTCATTAATGACAAAGGCGATTGATTAATATTGCGAATTGATTGAGTTTAGATATGTGGTTTAAAGTCTAAGTGATAGTTGAGTGAGACATAAATGTTATAGTTTAGATCCATCGTGGAGTGACCACTGACCACTAGTCCAATATTAAGATGTAACAACTGTCGAATGCATCACAGTTTTAAATAGCTAAATAATTATGACAAACGAAAGAACCCAATCTGTTACAAATAAATCCACATTCTCCATGACAGAATAACAAAGAGCAGCACATGAGAAGAGTAACAGATTAGTAAGAATATAAGATCTTCAGTCGTGGTAAAAATAATAGACACCTAATGTGGGGAATTCCGACAAATGGAAGCAGAAACGCGGATGTACAAAAAGAACACTAACAAAGCACCATATAAGAATGTGGTTTTGTGAGGGATTTAAACCTTCTCAACACAATATACAAGAAATCCGTTCATCACAGGTATCATTTCTTCTGCTTAGTATAAATTGATTGTAGAGTACAGGTTTGTGTACAAGATTTTGTGCCATACTTTAATTACAGGATAATCAAATAGTTTCAATTGAATTAAACGATGTGGGACAGGATTTAAATAGGCAATTCACGAGATTAAACCCTAGATCTTTAATCGACAAATCTTAAATGCAATAGTGAAGCCACAATCTATAGTATACCTAAATCAGCTACAATAATTTAAGTATGAAAATATATCTCATATTCTCTTAATGAGTAAAAAACTTGATAGTTTACCGAACTCATGTACTGTGAGAAATATATAAACAACCTTTGAAGGTAGAAATGAATTAATAAGTATAGTTGGAATCAACTTCATCCAGGTTACCAACTCGGTTTGCTCCATAATGTCGGGGAATGCAATATTTTACCAAAAAAATAAATCACAATCAGCAACAAAAAAATAATTTTTAATAATCACTATTTCGAATGCTGAAATCGCGTATGTACCCATAGGTCAAACGGCATGGAACTTCGATGTTGAATAATTGGTTCTCAAAGAAATTATATATATATATATATATATATATATATATATATATATATATATATATATATATATATATATTGTTATGGATGCAGAATAATATGCCAATCATTGTCATGTTAAGTCTATGGTGGCCTTGGACTTTAAATGTACATTCCCTATTGGCTATTATTTAATTCATTCGTTACATATTGTGTAAATGTTGTTTTCTATTTTATGGTACGATGTGGTTTGTTTGGTTAGTATATAAATAGAGTATGTCTGAAATACAATCATTCATATCTCAGAGGCTGTGACTTGTGTTCTAGACTCAACTGGCTGGGATAGACAGCGAAGCAGGGTCAATCAGGGCACTAGGTCGTCCACTACGTGTTTACGTGTCCACTGTCACAGAAGCGGTCAATAAAACACTGCTTATCAAAACCTGCAGTCCCACCCGTTACAACAATTGGCGACGGGGTAGAGAAAATTTTGAACCCTCTAATTGGACGAGATTCAGCATAATTATTTTGGCCAATCAGTACCCAGATTTGTCATCGGCGTCCTTGGAAGTCATTGGTTGTTAATTGATCACAGTATTTCTCATTACCCTGCTGATTCAGAAAATGACTATCCTTCCCGATCAATTGCAGCTACTACTTGATCGCCAACAGCAGCGCTTCAGAGAGAGCCAGTTGAATGTTTTGGACTATTTACGCACACGGTTGGTAAATCTTCCATGTTTCGGAGGTGCAACAGAAGTTGATAAATTCATTTCTCATCTGCAGACTGAGCTGGAAAACAACTGCAGAACATATGAAGCTGGTTATAAAAGCCTCTGTGAATCCCGGACGACCAGTGATGTAAACGACACAGTTATTCATGATCCGCCCAGTTGTCCAGAAATGTCAAATTCCGAAACATTCCCTGTCGAGGGTTCAAATCCCACTGTTCCTGAAACGTGTACAGACAGTGATGTACCCAGCTCACAGGAAATAGATCTCTTATTAAATTCTCATAAATTAATTACAGTACCCTCTCATCACAAGGAAACAGGAAACAAATCGTGCAGTATACTGAGTCTAGCTGCTCCAAACGGTCCTCATCAGTCGACAACAGGAGATTCTGATAATTAACATCTATCAAAATTGTATTAAACTTTTGATCATCATTTGGTGCATCTAACACATTTTCTGGTACAAGAGGATCTAGATAATAAGATTCATCAGAATCTCCTGTTGTCGACTGATGAGGACCGTTTGGAGCAGCTAGACTCAGTATACTGCACGATTTGTTTCCTGTTTCCTTGTGATGAGAGGGTACTGTAATTAATTTATGAGCATTTAATAAGAGATCTACTTCCTGTGAGCTGGGTACATCACTGTCTGTACACGTTTCAGGAACAGTGGGATTTGAACCCTCGACAGGGAATGTTTCGGAATTTGACATTTCTGGACAACTGGGCGGATCATGAATAACTGTGTCGTTTACATCACTGGTCGTCCGGGATTCACAGAGGCTTTTATAACCAGCTTCATATGTTCTGCAGTTGTTTTCCAGCTCAGTCTGCAGATGAGAAATGAATTTATCAACTTCTGTTGCACCTCCGAAACATGGAAGATTTACCAACCGTGTGCGTAAATAGTCCAAAACATTCAACTGGCTCTCTCTGAAGCGCTGCTGTTGGCGATCAAGTAGTAGCTGCAATTGATCGGGAAGGATAGTCATTTTCTGAATCAGCAGGGTAATGAGAAATACTGTGATCAATTAACAACCAATGACTTCCAAGGACGCCGATGACAAATCTGGGTACTGATTGGCCAAAATAATTATGCTGAATCTCGTCCAATTAGAGGGTTCAAAATTTTCTCTACCCCGTCGCCAATTGTTGTAACGGGTGGGACTGCAGGTTTTGATAAGCAGTGTTTTATCGACCGCTTCTGTGACAGTGGACACGTAAACACGTAGTGGACGACCTAGTGCCCTGATTGACCCTGCTTCGCTGTCTATCCCAGCCAGTTGAGTCTAGAACACAAGTCACAGCCTCTGAGATATGAATGATTGTATTTCAGACATACTCTATTTATATACTAACCAAACAAACCACATCGTACCATAAAATAGAAAACAACATTTACACAATATGTAACGAATGAATTAAATAATAGCCAATAGGGAATGTACATTTAAAGTCCAAGGCCACCATAGACTTAACATGACAATGATTGGCATATTATTCTGCATCCATAACAGAATAGTACCTACCCTTTAAGAAGTGGTTCAAAAGACAGAGAAGTCTGACCCAGTTCACCACGAGCTTGACGCCATTCCAACGATCCAGTTTGACGACCCGGAAGTTGATCATTACACTTTGAAGGATGAAGGAAACTCACCAATTCATCAATAACTGAATCCCAACAGTATGGTTTTTGGTCAATATCGGCTGGATTATTGTTAAGCGACCAGTTTCGGATAGCATTAGTATGAATGTCCGCTAATTTATACGCCAGTACGGATTCTCTAATCATATTTCGATGGGATTGAACCTGTCCAGGAAATGTACAAAAATGTATGACGTATGGGGACTATACAGACCAGTTTCATACCGAACGTGTATGTTGGCAAAATGTGTATATATAGACTAGATCATAAATTAACATCAACCAAAGATCTAGAATGAACAATGAATTATTACGGTTTCATTTCTTAACACCTCATAAGATTAAACAACGGAAAGAAATTAAAAGCCAGTCACCATCCACTACCATATTTATGATTCGTTATGCAGTGTTTAAGTCCAATGCTGATATACATGCTTCTTAACCGATTGATAATTACCATGTACTCACTAGTGACTAGCTTCGTCAGGGAATTCTCAGAGTCCCAGTGAGAAGCCGTGACCAGTGGAGCTAATCTGTGTCGGATAGAGACAAGTATCTACCTCAATACAAAGGAGGATGGGAGCACAATTTCGTGGATTGGTTGGGGTTAGACATTAACACCCTTGGATGCCAGCTCAGTCGTTTAGAGGTTAAGCGTCTGCGCGCGAGACTGAAGGCTCTGAATTCTAATCCCGCGAGCGGGATTGTGGATGCGCACTACTGAGTCCCACAATAGGACGAAATGGCCGTCCAGTGCCTCCAGATTTTCAATGGTGGTTTAACATCAAACGGTTCATGATCTCAATCAAAAACTTAATCATCTTCACAACTCTATACTGAGAAAAATCTTAACTAATTTGCATACTTTGTTAATAAAATCGATCAACATGAATCTGTTTCGTTCATAATCATCATGTCGCTTGATAAATTGTGCTTGTTGTGCAACAAATAAACGCCGAAGAACTGTATAATATAACCTGATTCATCTGGAAAAAGGTTGTTGCTTTCTAAGTTTTGAAACGTTTTACAAATGTCCTTCCTGGCTCTCTCAGTTATGATTGGTTTAGTAATATAAAATAGTTTAACCTGGGTTCTTTCTAATGCAGTTACAAATTCAACGGCTGAAACCGTTCACCGAGTTACTATTTTCTTAATTCCTTTATTATTTAATAGTTTGCAACAGGAACTAACTAACTGATTTTTGTTTTGGTTGTTTGAATCTTTCCGTTGATGTTAGAACTGCAATTGATCACATACATCCAGCTGATGAGTCCTAAGCAGGACGAAACGCGTGTCCTGGATTCCACTGCTAGCCACCAATCATCTCTGTTTATAAAGCTTAGAAACTAAATTTGATTAGACAACCATTGGAAAATAGAGAGCATCAACAATTGTTTCATTCTAGTATAAGAATCATTAGCAGTGTGTGTTCACAATTCCAGAGAGGATCGAGTTTAGAACCTTTAGTTCACGCGATGACCCCTTAATATTTGGACTACAGCTGATATGCTCTCGTTTTTCTCGTCTTCTGGAACATGGAATTTACAAGTACATTTTAAATACCTTCACACAGCCGAAAACAATTACTTCTCACATGATAATCGACTTTCCAATCGAATTAACCATGAACCAGTGGAACTCTTTACATCAACACGTAGTTGAAGCTTCATTTATCAATGTGTTCAAAAGGGAGTTGGATCACCTAGAAGAGTTACATTGGCAGGGCTAGTACAGATCATCTAACCTCTGGTTCATTTTAAATGTAAATTGAAATACAAAATACCTACTGACATATCTACTGAAATGGTTGAAAAGATATAAGTTTAGTTGATAAGGGAAAAAAGATATAGATGACAATAAAGCAATTTACTTCTGAAAACTTCTGTGTATAACGCCATGTCACATCTTGTATATCCACAGTTACTAATTTGGTAGTGTTATCCGATTTCTGATATAATGATCGAGGTGGCACTGTGTAAGCCATAATATAATTAATTTTTTTATTCCATCCAGATTCATACAGTAAAGGTTTGTCCAATTGTACTTCACATGGATCACAGTGAACCCAAAGTTTTTTATCATTATGTTTATCTTTTAACCAGCTATATAGAGGCAAATTAGAAAATGTTACGTAAATGATGTTATATTAATGTTGTACTTCAACGCAGTCACTATATTACTTCAATTCCAGGAATTCTGTAAGTATAGCATTAATAAATGGAGTAGTGATTTAGACATGATGAAGTTGACTAATGATTGAAGGACTTAACTTATAACCATAATAATGTTACATGCATATTTATTGACTTAAATCATTCAGTATACAGTTGTGGAGATTATTATGTTTTTGATTGAGATCATCAACCGATTGATGTTAGACCACCATTAAAAACCTAGATACACTCGACAGCCGTTTCGTCTTATTGTGGGACTCCTCAGCAGTGCACACCCGCGATCCCTTTCGACCTAGACGTGGTTGTATAGATCAGATACTCACACTACGTCAGGTCCTAGAACATAGACAAACATTCAGACGCCTCACAATCGTAGTATTTCTCGACCTTAAGGCAGCATTCGACTCCGTTGATCGTGAGGTTCTGTGGCAGTGTTTGTCACTGAAAGGAGTACCAAAGAAGTACATTAACCTTATAAAGGCTCTCTACTCGAACAAAAGTGGTAGAGTGAGAGCTTATGGCGAACTGTCATCAGAATTGATTACCTCAAGTGGTGTTCGTCAGGGCTGCCCACTCTCTCCATTCTTGTTTAACTTTGTTGTTGACGTGCTTTTAGAGATAACACTTTCCTCATCTAAATCTACAAGGGTTGAACTTCTACCGGGAGATTCACTTGTTGACTTAGAATATGCAGATAAAATAGTCCTGTTTGGTGAAGACGCTGACAAAATGCAGAGTCTTCTGACCACTCTAAGCAACAATACAAGCATGTTCGAGATGCGATTCTCCCGCTCGAATGCAAAATTTTACTTCAGGATTGGGTTGCATCAATACCCGAACTAATGATAGGGAGTGAAGTAGTTGGGTGTGTCGACCGCTTCACTTATCCTGACAGTCTCATCAGCCCTTGTGGTCTGGTGTGTGACGAAATCTCAGCATGGATACAGGAGGCTCGACTAGCTTTTGACAACTTGCGTCATTTATGGAGTAGGGGAGATATTGCATCGACCACATATTCACCATTCGTCAGGTTCTAGAACACAGGTATACTTATCGGCGTCCGACAATGGTGGTCTTTCTTGACTTAAATGCAGCATTTGACTCCGTAGACCGCGAGATTCTGTGGCAGTGTCTGTCATTGAAAGGCATACCTCAGAAGTACATAAACCTTGTGAAGGCTCTTTACTCGAAAACTACCAGTCGAGTCAGAGCTTATGGCGAACTGCCATCTGCTTTTGCAACCTCAAGTGGTGTCCGTCAAGGCTGTCCACTTTCTCCATTTTTGTTTAACTTCATCATAGACCTATTGATGGAAATAACATTCTCGTCTACTGAATTCTCGGGTATTGATCTCCTTCCAGGAGGTCCATTTATGCACTTAGAATACGCAGGTGACATAGTCCTGTTTGGTGAAGACGCTGATAAAATGCAGAGTCTTTTGGTGGCACTAAGCAACAATGCCAGAATGTTTGGAATGCGATTCTCTCCCTCTAAATGCAAGTTGTTGTTTCAGGACTGGCCTGCGTCAATTCCTGAACTAAGGATAGGGAGTGAAGTAGTCGAACGCGTTGACAACTTCATTGATCTTGGAAGTCTGATCAGCTCTAATGGGTTGGTGTCTGACGAAATCTCAGCACGGATTCGGAAGGTTCGTTTGGCTTTTGCCAACTTACGTCACCTTTGGCGAAGGCGAGATATCCGTCTATCAATAAAAGGACGAGTATACTGCGAAGCGGTCCGTTCTGTTTTAATTTACGGCAGCGAAACATGGCCATTAAGAGTAGAAGACACTCGTAAGCTATTAGTATTTGACCACAGATACCTTAAAAATATTGCTGGCGTCTGCTGGGGTCACCAGGTAAGTAATAGTGAGGTTAGACGCAGGGTATTAGGGAATGATGGTAAGTCAGTTGATGAGGTTGTGAATCTTCATCAACTGAGATGGTAAGGCCACGTGTTACGTATGCCTGAACACCGATTACCACGACGTGCAATGCTAACCGGTGTTCGGTATGGTTGGAAGAAAGCTAGGGGCGGCCAAACCAAAACGTGGCATCAGTCATTGAAGTCACTAACTTGTAGTCTGAACCATGTTGGTAGGTGCAGAATACTTGGTTGGGGTCCGCGTGACTATCGTAACCAATGGTTAGAAACTCTTGGTGATATGGCTCAGAATCGAACACAATGGCGTCGGTGTATTCACTCTCTGTCTTCCCCTAAACCAAGAGATTAAAATCACTAATTGTTTCTTCCTGTACTATATCCTTATTGCAATCTTTCTCTTACATATTACCACCTCTCAATTAACTATTTTTATGAACCCGGTGTCCATCTTGTTGTGTTAATGAGGTATGGTAACTTGAGCCGATGCATATATGTGCCTGGTCCTACGTTGTAGCTGACTGACTGACTAGGCGAGATATCCGTCTATCAACCAAAGGACGTGTTTACTGTGCAGCAGTTCGTTCCGTCCTACTTTATGGAAGTGGAACATGGCCGGTAAGAATAGAGGATATTCGTAGGTTACTAGTATTCGATCACAGGTGTCTTCGAAACATTGCTCGTATATCCTGGGACTACCGAGTATGTAACTCAGCTGTTAGGAAACGGGTACTAGGTAAGGATGGCAAATCAATTGATGAAGTGATGAAACCTTATCAGTTGAGATGGCTGGGACACGAGTTAATTACGCCCAACCACCGACTGTCCCGACGTGCGATGTTCAATGGTGTAGGAGTAGATTGGAAGAAAGCTAGGGGCGGCCAGACCAAAACATGGCACAAATCCATGAAGTCATTGGTAGGTGTAACCTAGTTGGGATCCGCGAGATGATAAAAACCGATGGTTAGAGACCCTGAATGGCATGGCTCAAAATCGTTTGCAATGGCGCAGGTGCATCCACTTTTTGTGTTCTCCTAAATTCCAATCTTCTGAGTTCATGTCCCTTTTTTCCTCTTTCCAAATTTGTTTCACTGTATTATATTCCATGAATAACATCAAACTCTAATCTTTCCGTTTATTGCTTATACTCTTACTACCTCTACCACTACGGGATTTGAATCGATAACTGCATCTCTGTGCTAATGTGGTATGGCAACTCGAACTGATGTACACACGTGCGAAGTTCTACGTTGTTACTGACTGACTGATCCGCGACCCCGCCCGCGGGATTCGGACCCAGGGCCTCCAGTCTCAGATTAAAATTGACGAAAATTTTACTTATGAATGATTTTTTCGCGGTAATACCTTCTTTAAACTATAAATTGAGTGTACTAACCAACTTTTTTTACTTTTGGAGTAACTTGATAAAAGTTGAGACTTATCTGGATATAAATTATCCTACATTTCAGCATAAACTTCTTAGTGTTAATTATGAATCTCTGAGGAATCATTGGTATTTTGGAATCTCCACGGACTTTCTTTAAATTATATAGTCAATATATAAAGCAATAATACTTATAGATGAACTTTTCACATAGCCCAAATCATTACTCAGTAATCTGCACATAAGAATATTTTTAATGTGTTAAGTTGAAAAACATGTTTCATTTTACTAAAACGTTTACTACTTTAAACTATTAAATGACCTCATGTATCCTATAGTTTACATTACGAGCTGATCTTACTTAGACAACCATTTAGAGGAACTAAGCACTTTACAAGTGTTTCGTCTTAGTACGATGCTCATCAGCAGTGCGCATCCATAACCCCACTAAGGATTGAACGCAGGACTTCCAAAACCTAGGGGTGAGCGTTTAACATTTACACAAATGAGCCAGAATCCAATGGTTTGCATGTTGAACTTCAATCAGATCGCGACATCTCCCAATTATCTTCCAATATTATCATCGGTGGGTGACTGTTTCACACCTGACGTGCTCAAGTTCCACTAGTCACGGCTTCTTACTAGGACTCCAGAAATAACCACACGAAATTAGTCACTAGTGCGCATGTAATTATTGTCAATGAATATTATCTTTTAAATAAGGATAAAGTAAAAATATTTCATACGCTGTAACATGACTGAAAAAGTACAGAAATAGATGACGTCGGAATCTATATTCTAAACTGTTTTAATCCTTTAAGAATTAGTTATAATTACCAATTAAATGATAGTAATGATCGAAACGTACACTTCACACCAAACATGATCTGTCCAATCCATAATAAGTCGACATGCATCAAACCAAGGTTGATTAGTGTGACGTTCAGCAGAAACAAGGAACAATGTAAAACAATTTGCCCATTCACCACATCGTCCTAAACGAGTTTCAAGTAGTTTTCTAGGATTGTTATATCGAGGAAAACGATATAATGGATGTGTTTTGTTTGTTTTACACTGATAAATCTCTACTACGTTTGCACCACCATCATTCATTTCATCCAGTTGAGGCTGATCGTTTGAGAATGCGACCATTTTGCCCTGAAATTAAATTAATGAAAATTTTACAAAGTGTAAAACAATTAAAGGTACAAGTGCGGTGTGTGCTACTTTTATGGACAGATATAAATAGTGTTTATCAGGAATTGTAAGTAGAAGTTTTACGGACAGAAGAGGGAAATGAAGAGAAGGGAAAACAGAAAGCAACCGAAATCTCAACAAGAATGGAAGAATGATGGAGTTGGTGAGGAGCAACTCAAGGCGGCCTGCTTGAATAACTGGGCTACCCGTTCCAGCCATCTAGATATCTTAACAAGTTACATGTCTTTTGTTTGTTTCAACACATTGTCTATTAATCGTGTTTATGAAAAGTTTAAGACCTTTCGCTGTACAAATCACAAGAAAAGTACAACCATCAGAGATATCGTGGTGGCTGGCAAGTTACATTGAAAAGAATGAACATTATTCAGATATCGATTCCTGAACTGCTAACATCTAACTGGTAATCAATCAATATATATCGTCAAGATCGATCAAGAAATAAGAAAAGTAAACTTGTTGAAATACATTGCACTGAGAATTGTAGATTGTGCTAAAAATATAATATTGGAAAAAGCCATTAATAATAATAATAATAATAATAATAATAATAATAATAATAATAATAATAATAATAATAATAATAATAATAATGGCCAAATAGTGTATGTTATGTATTGTTTTCAAATTTTACAAATGCAGTGTGTGATTTTACATAATAAAGTGGTTTACGAAGTCTTCGTTCATTACACAAAGAATTCCGCCAAATCAATAAATTAATGAAAGTTATTGGTTAAAAGAAATTTGTCAGAAAGAATCAAAACGGAAAGAACGGATTTCCCATCCACTACACACGTGTCATTAAGAGAATGGAATGATACAAACCCCTTACTGACAATATTACAAAAGAAAAGAAATATATATATTAAACACATTCAACAGATCAGTGGCTATTTCAACTCAATAGAATAATGAATTATCGGTTGATGTTTAAATTACGAAGGCAATTGAATTTGATCCTTAGGTAGGCTGGAAGAAAGCTAGGGGCGGCCAAACCGAAACATAGCATCAGTCTACGATGTCAGTGACAACTGGACTTGGTCATGTACAGATACAGACTACCTGGTTGGGATCTGCGTGATTATCATAACCGATGGTCAGAAACTGAATGAAATGGTTCAGGATCGTTTGAAACGGCACAGATGCATCCTTCCTCATGGGATCCTAAATTCCTCATAACTTACTTATGTTTTTATTTCATCAATTTACATTTTCTTCACGAGTCCTATCTTTGATGCCTAATCTTTCCTATTACCACTGATACTGTTACTGCCTCTACTATTCTGGGATTCGACCTGACAACTTCATTTCACGTAGCCCAAATTATTGCTCAATAATCTGTACATAAGAATATTTTAAATGTGTTAAATTGAAAAGCACGTTTCATTTTACTAAAACGTTTACTACTCTAAACTATTTGGTGTGGTAACTTGAACCGATGTACATACGTATAGGTTCTATGTTGTAACTGACTGACTCTCAGTGTGAACATTATCATTGGTTGGGATGCAGATCCATGCACTTAATGAGCAACACATATTGTGGTGCATGCTACTGATACTGATAGTTATAAGTGGTACGTATCATCAGTCGAAAATGAAATGTCTAGAGGCAGAAGGTTAAGAAGATCGAAGAGGAGAGAATGAGAACAGAGAATGATTGGTGTGGAAAAGAAACAACAAAGTCTGAGACAATTGAACATTTCGCAAATGAAGTATTTAATCCATGGTACCTAGATTTTACTAAGAGATTCTGTAATGTAGTGCTAAAATACATTTGGTTGTACTCACTGGTATTCTCGTTCACTACAATATGACTAAATGTAAGTGTTGGACTCCACCACTACCCACAATTCGCATACATCCTAAGACTTGTTACAAAATGATTATAATGTTACAACCCGTACAGGATGCATATATCCTAATAAGGACTGATTCTTAATTCAGTTCTGAATACGAACAGAGAAATAACGTAAACACTAACTAATAATTTTTTTTCTCGAAAAAAACATTTCAAACATTTATATTCATCATTACGGTAATGTCTATAGTACAGACACAAAATACATCTACTGCTTACTATACAAAACTTTAATAGGGATAAAAAAACAAGCCTCGATTTACAAACACTTACTATATTGTTGACAATTAGCAAATGTTTTATTGGACTGGTATGACGAGCACTAATTAACCCTGACTGTTGAGTCTGAATTCGTCAGACCAATAAGTTGTTAATAAAACTCACTAATATTAAAAATGTGTAGCATTGGACGCTAACACAATGATCCTAATGGTTAAGCGTTTTTTGTGAGACTTCGGTTCTACACTTGTTCATGGTTGTGGATGTACACTATTGAAGAGTCCAATAAGAGGATGAAACAGCAAACAAAACACAATTCTATATATATCCTGAATGAAATATAACTACTAGAGAAGAAACCTTCAGCTTAGAATATAAACAATTCAGAGAAATTTGGGACAAGGTGAAATAATGGTTATCCTATGGCGAATAGATTCGTGTAAAACAGCTTAGAATGTAAGTTAGTGCATCAATTTTAAGGCTAACTCCATGCTTATAAAGAATGAAAAAGATATACCCTCAAAGATGAACGAAAGTTTACTAGGAGGAAGTCGTTGATAAAATTACAGGACGAAGTGAGTACTTCTACATTAAAATCGGTCAAGATTTTATGATTCAATGAAGATTTTAAATTGTGAAAATGAAAGAGGATCCTGATGGATTGATAACATGCAACGACACAATTTGGCCAAGATACGGCTGCTTAAGAGATCGAACTATTGACCTCAGTTCTTAAATGACTTGAGATCAAAGATGAAACTAATGGCCATAAGAATACGTTATTTTATTCGATATAACAACATGTATACATGTTGGTCACTGGGTAGTGATCAATGTCATGTATATTAAGTCCCTTTTAGTCTTGATCGAATTCTATTGGTAAAGTTGCAAAGTGGCCACCAGTCTAGGTGAGTCGACATTGCGTGCACTATTTTGAGATGTTATATGGTGATTGGAGGTATTCAACAAGAAATCTTGGATCTAGGCTGTGCTGATCGCAAATCGATCGATAGAATTCCATCTGCATTAAAAAAAACTTGACATACATAACACTGACCATTACCCAATGATTAACCAATACATCACAGTCTCATAGGTCAGTCGCGACCCGGATAGCACATTGGCAACGTCTCTGGGTGGGGATCTGGATGACATGAGATCAAGTCTACCGGGAAGCATTAGTTCCCTCAAGATTACAAGCACAGATTGCCGACGAGTACCATATAGCACGAAACCTATGTCCACGGTTTCCTGCCGACAAATTCTAGCCACTATCATATAGTAAATTACTCGCCCTCTAAAGAATTAAAATCTGACCAATAGATTTAATGCCTCTTCACTATATCAACTGTCATACCTAGTTAATTCGGCTGTATATTCATCATTTTCATTTCCAACTTTCAAGTAAATTTTGTCATCGAGAATTTAATTCTTATCAGGATGATCGACCGCCTCTTTAAAATTTTACAACTATGACATTCAAATGAAAGCTATGTCAGTGCACATGGAAAAACAAGAAAGTTAAGGAAAACTACATCTATAAGATCCCAAAACGGATTATTACTATGTTTCACTAAACTGGTACTTAGTAGGGAAAACTAGATCAGGAAGTCAGTGAATAATCAGTAACTAACTAGCATAAATAATCAGTCCTTTTGCAGAGAACTAATTAAGTACAGGATACTCTAGCTTCTAAGTGTAACATTTAACGATGATTTTCAGTCTTGAAACAAACACTGACTTTCTTTGAAATCACTATAAGGTAAGACTGACTAGTCAGATTTATTGTTTACCATTGACTGTTTTTATTCATTTAAATCGAAAACAATTGACCATTTATGAATATAAGATGAAATGTTGTTAACAAAATTACAAACAGAAAACTTACACCGCATGTTTTACATACAAAGTCGTCAGCCCATTTAAAGAATTCACTCTTAAACCAAATTAATAACTCTCGAAGAAAATCTCTGGGCTCCACATCATCTATAGAACAACTATTATTTTGAGAGGCGGATAAAAGAAGCTGTTCAGTGGGAATCAATTCACGTGCCCGAGTCTAGTGAATAAATAGAGAAAAAATAGAAGAAATACATTGGTCTTTGTGGTTGTATATTGTGAACTCCATGACATTCCCGCTAGAAGAAAACGTTGGTTAAGCAAATACAAAGGTGCTTCTACTGACTGATCATTGATACTGATTATTCCAGTTGAGGGTTGTAACATTAGTTAGACATTTAAATGAAATTACCTATTCTGTAATCCAATTGCTTCTTATCCAAAACATTTGATATAAGACTGAACTGAGATTGAAAGTAGAGAAACTATGTAAAGATGGTGAATCTGTTGATAAAGCTTTGAATCTTCATCTCACTATCCACTACCATCAGACCAGATGAGCGATACTCATCGTTATGGGATTAAGTTATATAATTGGGACAGGCTAAACCAGGACGCGGCATCAGTTCATAAAATCATAAACTGTTTGAGCCACGTGATAGATGCAGACTACCTGGTTGGAGTTCGCGTGATAACCGCTATCAGTGGTTGGAGATGCTGCGCGTCATGGCCCAAAGTTGGTTGCAACGACGCATATATGGTGACTCATTTGTATTCTTTAGATCTTAAGTTCTGATACAATTTGTTATTCCAATCCGTTCATTCTTTTTTAATCATATTCTCTATGCTTAACTTATAGAGCCAGTGAGTCTACAATAGGACACACATTGAGGAAAGCACCCAACTGCGTCACAAGAAAAGCCCTCAGATGGAATCCTCAAGGCCAAAAGAAAAGAGGAAAACCAAAGAACACATTACGCCAGGAAATGGAGATAGATATGAGAAAAATGAACAAGAATTGGATGGAATTAGAAAAGAAGGCCCAGGACAGAGTGGGTTGGAGAATGCTGGTCGGCGGCCTATGCTCCATTAGGAGTAACAGGCGTAAGTAAGTAAAGTAAGTAAATGTTGGTGTAACAGTGACATGGGTTGATTTACAAAAATGACAAGTTTTAAGTTGTTTATGACTAACTGATCAGCTGATGATTCTTGTATCAATTCCTTAATATGGTACCATCAAAGAGTAAACTTCTTAAAAATAGGTCTAACCATTTTAAAATTACAGGTTAATGCCAGTGACCTGAACAAACAAGCAAAAGAAAGAAATGACAGATTAAATGAATTCAAAATTTGAACCTATTAAATTAACCAAAAAAGGTTATGTACAAATAGTTTATGTACCGCTTACCTGTAACTCTAAATCCATGTAGTTTACAACAAAAGAACGATACTGAAGCAATCGATTAACAAAACTTATTTCAGAGCTTCTCAGATCCAGATTGTCTTGATTTACTGTCACAGAACTAACCGGCTAAAATTAAATTGAAAATTGCGAATCTGTGGTAAGTGGATAGATGATGCGATTATAACGAAACATAATGATGATTTTTTGAAAATAATGATTTAAGATGTTACAACTACTTTGTCAGCCAAAACCAATATTTTAACAGAAATAAACCAGTCAAGTAAACTGATAAAACTCACTGCTAGGTAACATTAATAATACATCATTCCTATTTGTCATATAACTTAGTGACCTAATATATATCCATATACTTGGCTTTCTTACACCCATCCTGTTTGTATGAGCAGTAATGATACTAGGTAGGTAAGGTAAGATTCGAAACTGTAACCGACTGCTTGACAACTGAGCGCTTTAAACACTAAACGACCGAACTACACGACAAAAGCGAATTCTTATTTTTATCAAGTGAGCACCACGTGCTTAGATCTTTCTGAGTTTTTACAAAGCATTCCAGTAATGAATGCTATAGGTAGTACCCTGTATTTTAAACCATTCACTAATAGATATTTATTTATTTAAACACATAAACATTGGTACAACGAGGCACCATGTAGATATGCGCCACATAAATCATTCGATTTGTGTGAGGGCTGTGATACTGACCGGGTGCCTAAACCGAAGCAGATGGTTCTCTTAGGGGGCCACACCCCGAGCCTTTGACCTAAAGGTCTAACCCACAAGGCAGTGGAGCATCGTAAGGAGATGCAGTCCCATGGTAGCCGGTGACCAACCATTGGTTCATACGCCATTTGTTCCCGCAGGATACTAGAGCCCATGTGCACCACTGGTTTGGAATCCGATTAAAGCGCCGGACATTCGCTTTTAGTCCTCTCAATTTCGTAAACAACACCCCCGCCACGAGAAGGCAGTGAGTAGGACTTCCCTGGCAGAGGCTATATACGCGTGGCCGTGTGAGAGCATTTCGAGAGGAAGGGCGGGCCCACCCCGCTCTCGGCCATACCAGGGCATTTGGGGGCGCATTTATGGTGCATTCTACCAATTCATTTTATTTCAAGAAAACGCTAACACAAAACAAACATTTAGATAAATTTCAAATAAAGCTGACTAGAAATCATTAAAATCGTGATCTTCAAAGTCCATGTGATTTTAACTAATGAAGGACGTTCTTAGTCTATTACCTGCCTCAACTACTGACTGTTTAATTAATTAAACAAAACAACAGAGGTTTTTGTTTACAAAAACGGATGTTTTATTACTTTTCACCAAAATTTTATCAAATACTGGTACCGATAGATATCAATTAATACACGAAATCACCTTAAACTAAGTGGTACAACCAGTAATAAAGGGAATATACTCTTTTTCTCTAGATACTGTCACATGTTCAAATGGACCTTTGGCCTCGTGCGAGAACGCTCAACCTCTAGACCAGTGAGTCGGCACCCAACGGTGTTAATATCTAACTTTAATCGATCGAATCATGAATACAACTAACAAAGAATTACTACAATTTCCACAAACCCCCACTCTGATAATAACCATCACGTGCTCATTAGTGACTGGCTTCAAGACGGATTTTCTGGAGTTCTAGTGAGAAACCGTGACCAATGGAGTTCAGTCTGTGTCGGGTAGAGATAGGTATCTACCTCAGATAGTGGATGAACGGTAGCGCAAGATCATGGATCGATAGAAGTTAGACATTAACACCGTTGGATGCCGGCTTAGTGGTCTAGAGGTTGAGCGTTCGCGCACGAGGCCGAAGATCCTTGGTCCGAGTCCCACATGTGGGGTTGTGGATGCTCGCTGCTGAGGAGTCCCTTACTAGGACGAAACGGCCGTTCATTGCTCCCAGGTATTCCACTTCGATTAAAAGAATGAACTTCAAATGTATCCTGATCCATGGGGAGCAGCCTCCTAAGAAAACTTTCTGCTTCGGTTTGAGCACCTGGGCAGTATCGCAGCCCTCATCCAAACCAAATAGTTTGTGTGACACATATATTTGGTGGCTTCTTGTATCAATCTTTATGTGTTTAAATAAATAAATAAATAAAAACTTCGTATGACTTCACTATCCTAATAACCGTCTTTATTATTATGCATACTTGAAAATACAAAAGAGAAAGTTAGTGTCTACACATCAAGTAAATAGCTGATCACTTGAAGTCCCTAGTAAACGAACAACTACGGTAGAAAATGCGTGAATCAAAACCAATACAATCCTGAGGAAATGAACTGGATATGAGCTAGTTGCAGTACACGTACAGCTATACCGCAGTATTAAACAATAGCCACACATTCAGTACGGTGAGAAAATGCAGTGTTAAAACTCAAAATAACCATAATATGACACATAACTGGTGAAAAAATAGTTGTATAAACCAACTAAACTAATATATGCTGTTTTATCTTAATAAATAATCAAAACATACCAAACAAGATCTTAACTGAATAAATAACTTCTTCAAATGACCGACATCGAAAGTAGCTGGTAAGACAAAAGCATCATCAGCCTCCTTAAAAGAGAAAAAATGTGGTAAAGGTAAACAAACCGCATCAACATTATATATAGGCTTAAGATCCCTCAAGTGTAAATGACTTAGTCCGGTTACTATTGACACTAAAGAATACTTAAATATCTACGAGATACTAAACGTGACAATATAAATTGTCACGTTGGAATTAGATCTAATCAACATTGCATGATAAAAAAGGTAGAAACAACTGTACATGATACTAAAGACAGTTTACTTGTAAGGTGTAAAATTCTTCATAGCAGTTAAAGGATACACAAAAACCCGTAACTCACACAATCACTTCCGCATTCACTATACATGATTTACTAGTTAGATACGAAAAACCTAAGTGTAACTAAGACAAGACACGGCATCGTCTCAATAAATATTAAGTATTGCTGTATACTATACAGAAAGGTGCAGACTTCCACTTTAAAGGTGGTAAACTGAATTGCATAAACTGTTAATTAGAGGCTATAAGTAACACAATTGGAAATTGGTCAGAATGAACAACATGAATTCCTTTTTTATCTTTACATCCTGAACGTCTTATTTCCCTCACAATACTCATGACCTTCCTCTCACTCCAAAGACATCTAACTTTTCTTAGTTTTATTGTCTTGAGATTCTAGGTTAGTATTTAAAACTTACAGTATATAAGTTGAACCTTACAACTAGACAAAATTTCAGCTTATGATAACAAAATTAGGTTGCAGGAACTAGTTATAATAAGCGATTATCTGGATAAAAAATAGTATGGTTTATTTCATATTCGCTAAACAATACAGAACATTGGACCACATAAAATGTAGACGTCACAAGATTAAACATAGCTTTTTGGCTCACGCTATCTTATCAAGAAAAATTACTTAGACGGACGTATTCCCATATAAGATAACCACAACGAAATGCCACGAACCAGAGTTTCACCACCCGAATAAAATGAGCTTGTATGATTTTTAGTCCCCCGTTGATCTGACTTTTACTTGATTGTATGGTGATGTTAATGAAATATACAGGCCACCTACCCTTTTACATAATTGTCGACTTAATTTGTATTAAATAGTGGAATAACTTAAATACGAGAGGAAATTTTGAATTTTTTATATACTCGATACCCCAGACAAACCATAAGAGAAACTAGGCGACGAAGCAGACCGGAGAAGCCAAATATACCAATTCTCTTTGATAAAGCGTGACACCATTCAGAGCCAGACAAAAATAAGCTGAAGACATGTGATGAATAAGGTGAAAGATGAACACGCATACACTCAGATAGTCAGTTATGAGCGAATAACTGAAAGGGTTGAAATGTGGTCTAAGAAGAATAAATTGGTTTATCCGGAAGCTAGAATAACCCATTTGGACTTGATATAGTACTAGACACTACAGTTTAATAGTAAACAATTTCAACAAGTTTGGTGTATAATACTCAGGTTCTCTAATTTATTTATTTATTTATTTAGACACATAAACATTGGTACAAGGAGGCCCCAAATAGATATCAGGGTATTTGAGGTTCTCTTAGTTCTGATTACTTTATAAATTTTTTACACTCACTAGTTTGTCCGCTGCCCAGTACATCTATACTTTTCCAAGTTTTGGATAAATGGTAATCAACGGCCGTGATTATTTTATTTATTTGAACACATATATATTGGTACAGGAGTGCGCCAAACATATATGCGCCACACAATTTCAGTTCATTAATTGCGTGTGGGCTGAGTTACTGCCCGGGTGCCCAGACCGAAGCAGGTGGTTCTCTTAGGGGGCCACACCCCGAGCCTTTGATCTAAAGGTCTAACCCACAAGGCAGTGGAGCATCGTAAGGAGATGCAGTCCCATGGTAGCCGGTGACCAACCATTGGTTCATACGCCATTTGTTCCCGCAGGATACTAGAGCCCATGTGCACCATTGGTTTGGAATCCGGTTAAAGCGCCGGACATTCGCTTTTAGTCCTCTCAATTTCGTAAACAACACCCCCGCCACGAGAAGGCAGTGAGTAGGACTTCCCTGGCAGAGGCTATATACGCGTGGCCGTGTGAGAGCATTTCGAGAGGAAGGGCGGGCCCACCCCGCTCTCGGCCATACCAGGGCGTTTGGGGGCGAGATTTTCGTTCAACGTGACCACCATACAACGACCATTTATAATGACTGAAGGTCATGGTTTATTTAAATTTTACCAGTTTGTTGTGAGCATAACATTTATAAAACATACCAATTCTTATCACAGTTTTTCCTCATGTTAATTGGAATAATAAGAACTTGGACTGAAAACTGGTTGATTTTAAGTAACAGTTTATTTATGGGCAATGAATGATTGGTTTACGATTTACTCTTAGGAGCTGATTAATAAAGGTATGAATTAATAATCACTAAAATGACTGATTGTAGTACATTTCGTAACATAAACACTATAAATCTATTTACTGGAAGCCACAATTCATTGGTACTCTATTCAATGTACATTATCCAGTGCAAAATCACGACTCTCCTAGTAAAATCCTGGTATTAACAGCACACGTTAGACACACTGTTGACAGTTTGTAAGCACTCAGCACTCAAAAATATTTTGAAGGAGACTGGAGTTTGGAAAGAACAAATATCAAATAGGCAGCTATTTACTTCTAAGTCCAAAAAAATACTTTCCGAACAAATGAAACAAACAAATTAAACACACCTGAAAACCTGCAGAAAACAGGAAGTCCATACATCCGGGAACAACTAGAAGTGTTTCTATAAAATCAGAGCTAGCCAAACCAATGCGGCGAAACTTATCTTCTTGAGGATAACTTAGAATTCTGTCGCAAATCTTGTGTAAACACCCAAATGCACGCAATCTTTCCAAGTGATTCTTATTGAGCTTGAGCTGTATTATTGAGTTATCCAGAGAGAACTCATTCAAAACTTGTCGTAACCGACCAACATTGCTACCTTAACTCAGGTTATCATATAATTTGACCTAACCAACAACTGTTTCAATACATTTCCCGTCATGATACAGTTTGAAGGTTGGCAAAGCTGAAATCCCTTCTTGTCGGAAAAGTTCTGAGCAACGGTCCGTATTAACTTTCACAAAGACAAAATTCCCCTGTCGAAACTCAGATGAGAGAGCCTCAAACTGCGGGGCGATACGACAACAAGGTCCACACCAGTCAGCATAAAAGTCAACTACCAAGATTTTTTCTGTTTCAGAGCATTTTTTCAAGGTCTTCCCGAACTCAAAAACACTCTCGACGACACGCATAGAGCGACCTTGAATTCAAATTCGAGGTAAGGTAACTAAGCCTCTTCAGCATGCCTCGGGTGCTAGTGCTAAGGACAGAATTGCATATGACCTACCTCAATCCTCGCTATTCGTGGTATCATAGAGATCCGGCCGTTTTTTCAACTTGACGAAGGGAATACTGACGCAGAGACCATTTAAAGCAAGACTCAATTCGAGGATTAAAACTTTGGTCGTAACGTTTGATTTCGGCTAGTAACATTTCTGAGAATGTCCTCTCAGATGGTCACTCCTTGATGGAAGGGTTATACGGGATATGTGTTCAGGATACGCTATGCATATACCAGATCTATTATGACATATGTATTCAGCGATTTTCGTAACGACCAAATAGAGACCACATTTTTTTCTTTATTCGTGACAATTTATATGTGACCACTTCTATATCCAGTATCTAATGTCTGTCTGTATCAATAAAAGAACATACTTAATTGATTGGTTTCTTAATACCCACTCTGCTGGTGTTATTCAAATAAACTCAATCTCAGTCATCTATTCTTTTACTTTACTGGCCACGGCCTGTGAGTGAAAATTGCAACAATATTATAGCAACCTTTCGGGCCATTTAATACTACGTGTGAATATTGACCCAGGTTATTATTCAATAACACTGATGGTTTAGCATTTCGCTTCACACTGTTGGTGACAACAGTGCAGAGTAGCCTTTTTTTGATCAAGTGAACTCTGTTTGTGACTGTTTTCCCATTAGGAGCTTACAAGTGACATTCATTTCATAAAAATTGTTATCATCTTTGTCACTTAATATACCTTTTTGTGGATGATGTTATTTGTTGCTGTTTTGCCTTATTCACAGACAGTTTCTATCGCTATATTATAATGTTTTGAATTATTTGAATTATAGCATGAACTAAGAGTCCCAGAAATAACGCAATTGAATTAAGAAGTGAGACACAAGCACAAACGAATGTATTGTATTTGGAATTCGAAATCGTGCATTTGACAAGTACAAAGGTATCATCAGTCCATTCAAACACCACATCCGCCACAGCTTAAATAGGAGTAAAAGTGTTTGTTATCGGTTTTACGTCTTCTTCTTAAGTTCATCCTGAGTCTGTCCGACATTGTATTTGATAGAAACTTTGTAGTATCTAGAATGTGCTCATTAGTATTGGAATTAACAAACGAAATCGGAACAGACTCACCTGGAATTGTATACAATCAGCATGTCGGTTTTGTACTTAAACCATTAATATCTAGAATTTGAACACTATCCTCCCCCACGAAATAATGTTGGATCTTTATATCCCCAAGTAATGAATAATGTGGCTTCGTTTAAAACATATTTCTCACATTGATTGGAGTATACATTGGAAGTGAATTTGTGATAAGGATTAATAGCAATTGATGTGAAATGATCTGAATTGTAATCAGAATGAAGCTCATTTAACACTCGTGCTCCGCATTGAACAAGCTTCCCACAAGAAACAAATGAATTATGGGGACAAATAATATTTGGTATGATATCAAGACTTGACTCTTCTGGAATAGTTTCCTCGAATTCATTAAGAACGTCATTGCAGATTAAAGGATCATTGGAAAAATCAGCATCTATCAAAAATACATCAGGTTTTCGACCATAATTATGTTCACTCAACATATTTTCTTCAGATTTGTAAGAAATTTCATCAGAAATGTATGAACCATTAGGAAAAGCCATATTTGGTACAATAACATGAGAAATCTGATAAATCAATTGGTTAGAAACTGTTGTTTCGCAAGAATTCTGAATTTCATTTAACTCTGAACTACTTTGTGACTCTTCATTGTTTACTCCAATCATTGATAGAGATAAATCATCATTATAAATACTCGACTCAGTAGAATCAGAATCACAAGTCTTAATACTAGTCGCAATAAGATGAACATTAGTATTACAGACTGACTGAATATGTCCAATATCATCACATTTAAAGCACTTAGAATTACGAAATTTACATGAATTCAAAGAGTGGAACTTGCCACAGGAAAAAAACTGACTCAACTTGTGCCCATCTTCGTGAAATGCATTGCAACTCCTCAATGAATTGTCTGCATAATCTCGAGTATGAACTGGATTGGGATGATGTAATGTAGTAGAATTTTTTATATCCTTATGAATCATTTAACGAAATCTTCCTCCTTTACGACATTCGAAATTTGTATACTGAACATAGTCTAGCAGCAGTTCCCTGAGAGCTGTATAAGGAAGCGAAATGGGCTTTTCCGGCATAGCCAGAGTTTTTAATAAGCCGTATGCTTCTTTTCCAATGAATGTGAGGACGTGTGCCACAATATCAGCATCCTCATCATCTTCCTTGGTCATAGCCCAGATTTCGAACCTTTCAAAGTAATCTTCAAAAGCTTCCGAAGTTGAATGAATATCTAACTTTTCCACCAGTATAATGTTTTGAATTATTTGAATTATAGCATGAACTAAGAGTCCCAGAAATAACGCAATTGAATTTAGAAGTGAGACACAAGCACAAACGAATGTATTGTATTTGGAATTCGAAATCGTGCATTTGACAAGTACAAAGGTATCATCAGTCCATTCAAACACTACATATATTCTTAGTAAACTTGCTCATTGTTACATCTTGAATAACTTATTTTACCAAGGTCCACTGCGGATCGTACTTCAGCCTACAAGAAAAGAGGAATCGCATCAAGTTGTTTCAGCTTATCTTTATACCATAGGTCAGAAAAATTATTTACTATTTCAACCCTTACTCGTTGAAACCTTAATAGCTCCTCCACCGCATCCGAAACAGCGGTTCGTTGGCACTCTACTACTGAAGATACACAGGATAAAACATCATCGAATAGTTTTATATGTATTTACATATATGTACATATATATATATATATATATATATATATATATATATATATATATATATATATATATATATATATATATATATATGTACATATATGTATTTACATAATGATATCTCGAGGATAAGCAAGGTAACGAATACAATTTTTGGTTGATGTCACTAACCTTTTTTACCATAGACATAGGAATGTCAGAGTTCAAAGGAAGAGACACATAAGCTGGGATAGGATACAGTCGTAAAGGTTGATAGTGAACCTTTATTCAGTAGAGTCAGTAAATCTGAGATTAACACTGAAACCACATTTTAAGAAAGCCATATGTTTCAAGGTGCAAATATCTAAATGTAGTCGACACATTGGTTTTACTTAGTTTGTTCGATTTATTGTTGAAATTGAATGGTATGACTACTTAACCCACTCCATCTTACGTTGAACTCAGATAATATAACACTTCCCTAGCCTGAACCATCCTGACCTGATTTCTAGTTCTTTGCATTTTGCAAATGAATTTGGGAAACGGATAAATTTGTAGTGACCTACATTCGTCAAGAGAACGCGACTGGTTTAATGGAAACAATTATTATTATAACCAATTGTACCAATGATTGTTTCACTGTACTTGTTTGTTTAACTGGACATTCTTCTCTCCGTTGATTGTGATCGTGCACGCACTTACGTTTGCTCAGTGATTCCGCTTGTACTCTTTAGGCATGATCTCGGTATTCTTTCGTTACCACGAGATCGCCAACAGATACATCTCGCTACAACCTCTAATCGCCTGATATCTGGTACGCAACCTTCTTGTAATGGTGATCATAGTCAACCGCGACTCGACGCCACACTATAAATATATATTGAAAAGAAAGGTGATGAGCAAAATGTGATCGTAATTAATTTTCACAATATTAAAAACTGTATTGCTGATAGAATTGCACTATATTTTTAAGGCTTCAACTAGTTCAGTGATATTAAATTACATTCGAAGGGGTGTAGCACTCATTCTAAACTGGGTCTGCTATGAATCATTCATCAAAACGGCCTTATGAGGATCGTGGTGTTGAAGTAATTGTGCAATAACTCTTTTCTAACTTCAAATTCATAAAAGATAAGCCTTATCTGGATTAGACCTAGTATCACAGTAGCGTATAAAGATAAGTTCATTGATACTGGTCTAGGCCCGAATCTTACATATTGACTGAATTTTCATCTTCAGAGGTTAGGGAAAGTTTGACAAAATCCTATCATAAATTATTGGCACTTAAAAAATATTTTCCCTCCTCATGGACATTCAACAAAAAGAGCTTATAGCAGCTCATATTTGATTGGCTAAAATTTCTCCGCAAATATCCTAGTAATGTCAAAACATTATTGATCAAGTATTCAATCACTTCCTTAGTTTGCAAAGAAATTGCACTTCTTATTATTTTGGGTGCTGAAAAGTTATGTGTGCTTGACGAGAGTGACCTCGGCTCCTTCTGTTCAGGTTCAAGGCTTAATTAAAGATCTGTTCACTACTGGTCTGGTTTCTTCTATCGATAGAACAGGGGTACACACCTGCATGAAAAGTTATTCTCTAACTCCGAAAA